AAGTGATTGTGAAGACTATGGCCTGTATCAGACACACCTTAGTCTCCAGAGAGACACCATTGCTCTTCAGTACTTTGGAGAGGTCCCTAAGAGCAGACTTTTCCATGGCAATGCACCTTTTAATTTCCTGGCTACTAGTGCCAAGAGTGTTGACTGTGGAGCCAAGCAAACTAAATATATAACATTACATGGAAAAACCAAAAAACCCAAACCCACTATTGTTGAATCTGTTCTGACTCACAGTGACTCTCCAGTGGGTTTCCAAGGCTATAAATCTCCAAAGACTCCATCTATCACTGGTGGAATAGCTTGTATATCTGACTAGCTTTCCTTTGATTTAACAACAAAACAGTTGCCATAGTAAGCCACCAGATTCTCTTGTGTGTGAGTACAATGGTTAGAATATTAGAGTTGGGGGAAGGGACACCATCCAGCCATAACAATTCCCTATAATATCTCCACAAAAAGTAAACTCTTCTACCATACTGTATGAAAGAGCTAGAACCACTATGAGTTAATAAGTAGCCCAGGAGTATAAAGGGGGTCAAGGTTGTATAAATACAAAAAGTAAAAATCTTAAGAAGACTACAGTTTACTTTCCCAAACTTAAGAAAAGCAAATGGAGACAATGGTACTGAAGTAACAGAGATTTTGATATGAATAAAGACTGACTTAGTGAATTTGGGAATAGTTTCTGTAAGTTACACAAAATCACCAATGGTAAGTCCAATGTTGTTATAGGACCAGTGAAACTCTGGCAATCACTTCATTGAGTCCAGTATAAGAACACATCTGATTATGTCATTACAGGGAGGAATATATCATTTCCCCATAACAATTAATTTACAGAAACTACCTCAATGATTCATATTTCCTGCTTTTGAGGGAAGGGAACATATCATCTATCCCTTACTGGGCAATAAATTTCATTCTCAGAAAAACCCACTAACTACAGCTTATGTTAATTTGCTATATTGTGATGGCTTTCATGTTGCTATGATGCTAGAAGCTGTTCCTCAAGTATTTCAAATAACAGTAAGGTCACTCATGGTAGGAAGGTTTCAACAGAAATTCCAGAGTAAGACAAAAATAGGAATCCACGACTGCTGTCCACTTCTGGAAATA